CGGACCACATTTTCCAGCCTCCCTCACCACTGGAGTGGCCACACAACTGAGCTCCAGCCCATGGAATGACAGTGGCAGTGATGTGTCACCCCTCAGGCATGGCCCCTAGAACTCCACACCTGCTGTGCCATGGATGTTGTTTAACCTACTTCCAGCCCATGAGGATGGAGATGACCAAGATGGCAGAGCTCTGTCATCGTGAATCCCAGAATGACCCCAGAGAACAGCTGCCCTCACCAGCCAGGAACACCCACCATGGACTTCAATGTGAGTGGGAAATGAACTTTTACTTATTACTTATTTTTTTGGATAGGTCCATGGATGGGACATTTTGGGTCCATCTGGTGCATCAATGAATATCATCCTTGTCTACACTCATACTTCAATCCGGTGCTATTTCAATTTGGCAATGAGCAGGCACTTATTACTCACATATGGAAGTACTAAATTCTAACAAGATATAGATCCAGCTTACCAACTAGTCAGGAAAACAGGCAGGTTGGCAACTACCAAAAATGCTAGGAAATTGGATTTGAGCTGTGACAGAAAGACAAGCAAAGAAATGTAAGAGCACAGAGGAAAGTGTGATTAGTAGTTATCCGTGAGGGCCTCACAGAGGAGGCGGCAGCTGAGTGGGGCCTTGGAGGATGAAGGAAATTCAAAAGAAAGAAGGGGAAAGTTCTTTCCAGACTGAACATGAATCCTCAAACATTCCATCCATGGGGCTGCGATGCTAAAGGCAGAAAAAATATTGCTCTGTTCACCCCAGGGAATAGTATCAAGGCCAGGGAGGAGCAGCTACAGGGAAAGAGGATTCCATCCATCGGGGGGAGAAACCAACGATCAGGGATGACGATGAACCAGAGGGGCTGTTCAGACAAAAAGGTAGTCAGTTTCTTTTTAGGGATGGCCAGCCTCTTGGCATGGGGACCGCAGAGAATGTGATTTAAGCACAGGATGGATAGCTGCTCCATTCAGCTGCCTTCCAGCCCTGAGATTCTACATATCTTCAATGCTTCTGCCAAGCAGGCTTTGTACAACATTGCCAGGAAAAAAAGAATTATTTAGCCCTGTTACAGCATTTCTTACATGACAGTCCTTGCCAAGCTCCCTTTCAAGGCTATGTTGGCTGGGTTCACTGAATGTGTTCAATCATAAGCCAGCAGAGAATATCTCTTCACATCTAGGCCCGTGAGAACCCCTTGAATATCATTTTATTACCAAAAAAAAAAAAACTTAATAGGCTGATACTAAACAGGATTGCTGCTGGTGAACAAGAAAAAAAAATGCCAGTAAACATCTATTTTGAATGCTTAGGCCATCGGGCATTGTGTGTTAATTGCATGTCCTAGTTAACTGCAAGTTGCCTGGTCATACCAAATATGGACATAAGTTTGCAAAAGATTAGATTACAAAAAGTTATATTAGAATAAAGCTGTACAGAGAACAGTTTTGTCCTTCCTGGATGACTTAGTATGCTGCAAGGCACTTGAGGATTAAAATTATAAACATCACTTTCCACTGTGTAGTTTTATAAAACAAACTTGTTTTCCATTTTTAGATGTGCATGCTATAGATAAAAGGAAGGCTAGCAGATATGCTAAAAAGAGAAATACCATCCTAATATTACTGCTAAGTTAGTAACTTTCCACTTTCCTCTTATAAGGTTATACTTTCATTTTCACAAACATTCATTGAGTCTCTACTATGTGCTAGGCACTGTGCTAAGCATCAGTGATATAAACTGAATGAAAAGAGGAGAAAATTAAGTATCTTAAACTTGAAAACTTCCTGATATTCATAATGTTATTTTTCTTAGGAGCAATCCCCAGTGATTATAAAAAAAAATAAGTTCAGCTACATTCTTGCCCAATAAACAGGGTTATTGTGCTTGTAATGTCTGGAGATTATATATATCAAAAGATTGACTTTAAATGTTGGCCCAGATTACTGCTGTCTCATCTTCCATAAAAATGTTCCTTATTGCTTAAATGAAAGAGAAAGGGAATAGAATTTTTCCAAGCTGAGAAATGAATATTAAACAAACAAAAACTCTTCACATTATAGAATGAATCTTAATTATACAACCACAACCTCAATAGTGAAACAAAGGAAATTGACAAAACCATATTCTGAGGCCACTGGAATATTTGACTGGATGTGACAGTAAAACAATCACATAAAAGTTACATTTTATACGCAATTGTTCAACCATAAATATAAGCAATACTTTGCTGGTCTCTCTTTTCAGAATCCCACAGACTTCAATCTTTTTGAAATTCAGGTCACATTCTCTCATCATACAACACCCTGAGAAAATCACATCTCAAGTGATGCCGAGACCCATCTGCCTTTGATATCCAATCTTGGACTACTTCCTGCTGCCTTTCTCCCCACCTACCTACTTATGACCTGGGTCCTAAAATCCATGTTTCACAAAGCTTGGGAATTCTATTTCTTCTTGATAAAATGAACAACTCCCAACAACAGCTCTACTTTGTTTGGTCTTTACCCAACTGTACTTACTATTTCCAGTATGCATTTACTGGCCCTGTGTGGAAAGCGTGTTCTGGGGTGCTCTGCCTGTCTAGGTTCTAAGTCTGCTCCCAATAATGGAAAGCAGAGTTGAACCTTCAAATGAAAGATTCCCACTAGCCCTGACATTCACACACATGGCTCCTATGAGCATTTTGAGATTTCTGTGCTCCCCAAGGAACATTCTGAGAGTTCAGTCCCCAGTCAAAACGAGAAATCACATTTTCCAAAGAGAAAAAGAAAACAAACTCTGGAATAACACTTCCCACCATCAATGACCCAGGTCCCAGTCTGTGTTTTCGACGGATAGACCAGATCATGACCCAGGTCCCAGTCTGTGTTTTCGATGGATAGACCAGATCAAGCTGAAATTGAGCACACAAATGCATCAGCATCCATGGATTCTGTTATTTCTAGCCTGCCATGTGTCCTTCCTAGTCACGTAGCCCCTCTGCACCTTAATTTCTTTGTCGGTCCAACATATCAAAAGATTGACTTTAAATGTTGGCCCAGATTACTGCTGTCTCATCTTCCATAAAAATGCTCCTTATTGCTTAAATAAAAGAGAAAGGGAATAGAATTTTTCCAAGCTGAGAAATGAATATTAAACAAACAAAAACTCTTCACATTATAGAATGAATCTTAATTATACAACCACAACCTCAATAGTGAAACAAAGGAAATTGACAAAACCATATTCTGAGGCCACTGGAATATTTGACTGGATGTGACAGTAAAACAATCACATAAAAGTTACATTTTATACGCAATTGTTCAACCATAAATATAAGCAATACTTTGCTGGTCTCTCTTTTCAGAATCCCACAGACTTCAATCTTTTTGAAATTCAGGTCACATCCTCTCATCATACAACACCCTGAGAAAATCACATCTCAAGTGATGCCGAGACCCATCTGCCTTTGATATCCAGTCTTGGACTACTTCCTGCTGCTTTTCTCCCCACCTACCTACTTATGACCTGGGTCCTAAAATCCATGTTTCACAAAGCTTGGGAATTCTATTTCTTCTTGATAAAATGAACAACTCCCAACAACAGCTCTACTTTGTCTGGTCTTTACCCAACTGTACTTACTATTTCCAGTATGCATTTATTGGCCCTGTTTGGAAAGCGTGTTCTGGGGTGCTCTGCCTGTCTAGGTTCTAAGTCTGCTCCCAATAATGGAAAGCAGAGTTGAACCTTCAAATGAAAGATTCCCACTAGCCTTGACATTCACACACATGGCTCCTATGAGCATTTTGAGATTTCTGTGCTCCCCAAGGAACATTCTGAGAGTTCAGTCCCCAGTCAAAACGAGAAATCACATTTTCCAAAGAGAAAAAGAAAACAAACTCTGGAATAACACTTCCCACCATCAATGACCCAGGTCCCAGTCTGTGTTTTCGACGGATAGACCAGATCCAGGTCCCAGTCTGTGTTTTCGATGGATAGACCAGATCAAGCTGAAATTGAGCACACAAATGCATCAGCATCCATGGATTCTGTTATTTCTAGCCTGCCCTGTGTCCTTCCTAGTCACGTAGCCCCTCTGCACCTTAATTTCTTTGTCGGTCCAACGGAGTACAAAGGCACCTTCTAGCTCTAAATGTACTGTAGGCCTATGAAATAACAATGCAGTTNGAGTACAAAGGCACCTTCTAGCTCTAAATGTACTGTAGGCCTATGAAATAACAATGCAGTTAGAAAATGCTGCTGTCCCTAAATTATCTCTGCAGGCCCTGCAAAAGTAAAACTCCGATTAAAGACCATGAAATGAGGGGGAACAATTAAAAAGATCTCTAAGGTCCCCTTCCACAGTTTGAGAGAGTAAGGCATGACCAGGCAATTGGTCATAAAACATTAGTGAGTCTCATAGCTCTAATAATCCTGTGTTTCCAATGGCCAATTCTGCTCTAGCAAAAAAATTCATCATTATATATTTTTTCAAGCACTGCCTTGAAGTGTACAACGACTCCACAGCAACAGCAGAATGACTTTATCTTCTCTGTCCAGGAGCTCCTTCCCTATTACTGGCAACCTGTCTCACTCAGAGAATTCCAGCTCCAGGCCCTGATTTCTACTAGACAAAGAAAACACTCCACCCAGCAAGAGCAGGTTAAAGAAGTCACACCTACCCTTAGCCACTGCTTCTCTGTGAGGGCGTCACTGTAGTCCACATCACGGCGCTGGCGAGACCCCCTACCAAATATTTTCTCTTCCTCCTCTTNCCAATGGCCAATTCTGCTCTAGCAAAAAAATTCATCATTATATATTTTTTCAAGCACTGCCCTTGAAGTGTACAACGACTCCACAGCAACAGCAGAATGACTTTATCTTCTCTGTCCAGGAGCTCCTTCCCTATTACTGGCAACCTGTCTCTCAGAGAATTCCAGCTCCAGGCCCTGATTTCTACTAGACAGAGAAAACACTCCACCCAGCAAGAGCAGGTTAAAGAAGTCACACCTACCCTTAGCCACTGCTTCTCTGTGAGGGCGTCGCTGTAGTCCACATCACGGCGCTGGCGAGACCCCCTACCAAATATTTTCTCTTCCTCCTCTTCACACGTCAGCCTTTCTACTTCGGCATCATCCTTAATAATCCAGGAGGGCAGCTCATCTTCCTCCATTAAGCGGGGCTTGCGCTTTGGGTTCCGGGCATCTTCCCTCCGCCGGTCCATGTCCATGCGCTGGAGATATTAACAGAAGTGTCACCAAAGTAAAGGGGCACTCTGTATGGTGTAGACTTTACAGTACATATGCAACTTTCACAAGCCATCTCATGCGGCTGCAGGCTCCCTTGCAGCCTCTCTTATCCTGGTTGACTTGTTCTAGCTCATCCCTAAAGCACAGTGTCCGGGGAGAGACTCCACAAAGTCAAGTCCCTTCCCTTCCTCTGTACTCATCTTTTTAAAATTTATTTATTTATGCATTAAAAAATACTCTTTAAAATCCCCCCCATCCCCCCTTTTTTTAAGCCTATGTGTCTATGAAGCTTCTCTTTAAGCAATTCTGAGAAAATTCAAACTGGGGATGCATTTTAAAAATACAGGCCTTGGCTATACAACTTATTGCTTCCCTGGAATAAACACATTCTTTGAGCATATAAGAAAAAGTTCATTAAGAAAATTTCCTTCTATTCAGTGGGGTTTGTCCTTTTCCCTCTTCCTTCAGCTCTACTGTACTAAATCAGGGACTCAATGTAAGTTTTTCTTAAAAGCTAAAACTGATAAAATGATAAAATGGAATATCTACTACTTGAACACAAATATGACCTCTAGAACCTATTTAAAAATTCTTTAAGCAATTCTGAGAAAATTCAAACTGGGGATGCATTTTAAAAATACAGGCCTTGGCTATACAACTTATTGCTACCCTGGAACAAACGCATTCTTTGAGCATATAAGAAAAAGTTCATTAAGAAAATTTCCTTCTATTCAGTGGGGTTTGTCCTTTCCCTCTTCCTTCAGCTCTACTGTACTAAATCAGGGACTCAGTGTAAGTTTTTCTTAAAAGCTAAAACTGATAGAACTGATAAAATGGAATATCTACTACTTGAACACAAATATGACCTCTAGAACCTATTTAAAAATTAAAGGTCAAAGCCCCTTCAACAATGCTTCACCATTTTTGGAAATCATTACATTCCCAGGAGGGGGTAGGCTCTGGGCATGGGGAAGTCCCATTGGTAGATAAATATGGCCACACTGTTCTGTCATGTGCTATAGTTAGCGCTCAACGCTCTGCTTAATCCTGCCTTCTAATGCTTTGGTCTCAGAAATGAGATCCACCAAACTTTCTTTAGTAGCACACAGAAGATGCCACGTTTACAGCAGGGTCTAAAGAGAGACTTCAGGATCAACCTCCTAATAGTTATTAGATGGCTCATAAGAAAAAACATTTTTTGGGAATATCCTACACTGAGATGACAAAATATTGCCACTTCAGTTTTTGGCTATACTACTACCATTACCTATACCAAAGCCTGTGAAATGTCTTAAGTTATGCATTTGTCTACAGTTGAGAAAACAACATTTTTCTGATATAAAAGCAAATTATGCACTAGCTTTTTTTTTTTCTTTTAGGAAAGACAGATGTAATTAAACAAGATAAGGTTAAAGTCCTGACTGTATCTCTTCCCAGACATTTCTACCTGTACAAAATCTTAAATCGATATTCAAGAAAAAGTCCAACTTATTATTCAGTTACTATATGAATGCATTTGTCTCGAGACCCAATTGTAAATCTTATATTTACAATTATTTTTAAAAGTACTTCTTGCCTTGTAGAGAACATATCATTTAAAAGTGTAACGTCTGTATGTTAGCAAAATGTTGCAATACAAATCATGAGCTGTCAAATATCTTTTTAGGTAAAATTTATAAGTACTTGGTATGGAAGATAACTTTTTCTAAAGTCACATTTTTACAAGAAGAAAGCAAGACAAAGGTTTAAAAGAAAGGTTTTATTTTAAAGAGACTATCGTGTGTTAACTACAGTGTCTATAATATTAAATCAAATAATGAGTTTGTATTAATTTTATACAGAGAACTAATACTTTTATAATAACGGATAAAGGGTTTCAATATTTGAAATCCAAAGACTTATTCTAGCTCGCATTCCATTCTTGTTTCTCATGCACTTTTTAATCGAGGTAGCTGGCAAGGATTCAAATTTTATTTCCTGCCCCCTGGTGGAGGTGTTAATGAATAGTGAATTGGCCAAAGGCGGCCAGCAGATTAGAATATTTTAAAAAACCAAACCAAACAAAAAAATCTGTATAATTCCCCAAATGGAAGCCAACCTTTAAGAAAAAGCAGAAAATTCACAGAATCAAAGTGCCTACAAATAAAGTGTTCCCTAACCAGTCTCACCTGTTACAAGCCTGTTCATCAAGTGGTAAAATTATCAAGTTACAAGAAGGCTGTGCCTCAAATTTCTTCTGAGGCTTTCAATTTCTACCGATACCCAGCCCAAAGGTAAGGAAGGAGGGGTACAGTACTCTTTTTTCCCTTTATTTCAGGGCTGCTGATGGAATTCTCCATCTCTGGGCCTAATTTAATTTGTATAATAGCAGGAAACTTATTCTCTCCAGCATCTTGAGAGTATCTGAGGCTATAGCAGTGCTGAATTATTGCCAATCAGTGATCAGCCAGGGAAACTGAGGGCCTCTTGCCTCTGTGTTCCCCAGTATTTGCATTTTAATAAGTTCCTCAAGGAGAGAGGATGTCTATTTGCAGTGTGTATCCTGAACCTCCCTAAAGAGACAATAATCTGTAAATGTGAACAACAGTACAAGTGAAGAAATTTAGATTTTATGAATGCCTTATGTTGACTGTGCTAAGTCTTTCTTACTGCCATTTCTCTCCAAAATGGCTTTACCTGGGTAGGGTGATTCATGGGTGTGTGTATGTGGGGGTGGAGGGGTGTATGTGGGGGTGCAGGGTGTGTGTGTGTAACATATCCCAATATTCCAGGTTAGGAGTTCAGGAGTTATTCCCACAGCTATGAGTTTTCCTTAAAAAAATTAAATGTCTTTTATCGTGAATCATTGGGTGGACACAGTGTTCCCTAGACAAAAATCACAAGAAAAAAATAACATAAGCCTCCACACAGCTGGAGCTCATTCTCAAAGACTGTCTAGGCTAAAAAGGCAGAGGCTGCAAACCCTGTGGGTCATATTTGGCTTATAGTCATGTTTTGTTTGGCCTGCAGTGTTTATATAATAATAATAAAAAAATGAATTTAGTTGCAAACATTTTGAAATCCAGAAATCACATAGAAAATCCTGGATTTCCAGCTTCTCTTGAAAATTTGTAATTTCTGGCTACGTGGGCTTCACACTTCCACCTTGCAGCTCGGTCCTCCTTAGACAAAGTGAAAGCATCTCCAGTACACGCACCCATACACATGCTTCACTTGTGCAAGTGACTTATCTGAGACACGAGGGCATTCAAATTTGGGACCTCTGATTTTAAGATTCTGCAATACATTTATTTGCTCTCTCCACAATCTAGCTAAATGTCTTTGATAAAGATCAACATGTTAAAGGGAAACCTCTTAACTTGACACATCCTGATCCATCCTGACATCTTCACAAAGCCTGAAATTTTGCAAATATCATCATCCATTCCATTCAATAAAGATTTATTAAGGAACTACCATGTGCCAGGAACTGTTCTGGTCATTGGAGATACAGAGGAAGACAAAAACAGCTATAGCAAATGCCTTAAGAACGCAGTAAATATCACTTCTTCATGCCTCTACAGAGCCTCCCTCACTAATCAAGGGGCTTGCTCCCCATGAACACTGCTGATAGCAGGACTCACACATAAAACAAATTCATTTCAGTAAGACTGCAGATGCTATGTATTATGAAACGTCAAGGTTGAAACCATGGACGTTAAATCCTCAAATGCTAATGTTCTTTTATACTTACTTTGTACCAGTGAAATCCAACTGGTTTGATCTTTAAGTGAAGGCCATACCTTTATCCCCACCTTGAAAGTTCCTATTTGCTTAAGCAGCCTCTCTTCAACAATTAGAAGAGGCACACCTGCATTGTTTTAGTTGTTGTCCACCTGCCCCACAAGGGAGCATGTTTGCTTTGATCTAGTAACATCTAGGGCATAGCTGTAAACTCAAATGCCTACAGGAGCCAGGCAGGTTTCCTGAATGGTGCTGGCCTAGGATTAGAAATAAACCAAAAGCGGGGGGTGTGCGGTAAGCTGTAGACCACATGGCCAGTCCAGAGGGTGCAGCTGCTACTCAGCTCTGGCCAACTGTTTCCACTCAGAGACAGAGGCCTGGTATTGCCCGATCTCATTTTTCAAGAGAAGCCAGAAACCAGGATTCTTTTTATGCTGGCAACAAATGCAAAATTTAAAAAAATGCTGCGTGGGCCAAAGAAAATATGTCTGCAGGCTAAATCCAGCCAGTTTGCAGCCTCTGAACTGAAAGAAAGGCACAGTCTTCACAAATGAAGTTCTGTCAGGGCATGCAAGCTCCAGACATACTGGTTAACAGAAAAAGAGGCAGAGGAATAAAGAATTTGTTTTCATGATTTTCTGCAACATTACCATAAAAAGATCAAATTCTTCTTCTCGTCGAGCAATCATTTGGTTCAGAGTCTCATCATCTGGTACTTCGTCTTCTTCCTGGGGTTAAAAACAGGGTGATTGAATAGGCTTTAGGCAAGAGGCTGGACAGCTGGGGAAAGGTACAAACACGTAAGGTGCATCTGTCTGCAGACTAGAGAGTTCCCATTTCTCAAGCCAGAAAGAAAAGAGAAGGATTTCATACTTGCCATTATTAATTTGCAAGCTATTCAAACTATCCTCCCAGAGCAAAATCTGTTTAGGGAGGAAACGTGGTGCACTGTAAGAAATACTGGTTCTCCTGGGTGTGCATCTTGATTCTGTTACCTTTAAAACAAGTTACTTAAAGTCTTCCTGCCTCAATGACTTCATCTGTAAAATGGGCATGACATCTACTTCACAGAGGGGTGTAAGATTTAAATAAGGAAATCCACATGAAAAAGTACCTAACATTAGTTCTTTTAATTCCATTGGCTGTATCCCAAATATAAATGCTTATGTTCAAAGCCTTACAAAAACATGAATGTGAAATTTTGTGACTAGGCACTGAACAATACCATAAAAATCATATATATATGCCAAATATATAGGCTTTAAGATATGTTTAATCAATGTATTTCAGTGGGCATGATTACTGCTAATTTTAGAGCTATGGCTGGGAAAACTCAAAAGAGATCAATAACAAAAGCCCCTCAAAACTATACTTAATTAAAATAATTTAAATGAAGTAGAGAAAGTAATTACATAAGGTTAAAGAATTTCCTCTTATATTGTATTGAACAGAGGCACATTATCTCTCTGCTAATTCCTCAAAAACCAGCAGTTCTCGAAAAATGTTACGCTTTGACTTCCACGCTTTTAAAAAATGATTCTAAAATTTGGGCATATTTTACAGGACTTATCTTCCAAAATTATTTTTAACATATGCTGAGTGGACTTCTTAAAAATCAAATGAAGAATTTCAGTATATCAGCAGAGGGAAGAGAGAGGAAAACACAGAACTTAAAACATCCAATTTCACAAATCTGTTCAAAACAAGGCAACTTGTTTTAGAGAAAGTGTATGAGTGCACTAGCTAGCAGCTTGACTGAAATGACTTTTCAGTTTCCAAGATAATGCCTTACCCACTGTAGGAACTTAGTAAGTGTTAGAAATGAATGCAATCCAATCAAGTAAAAAACCTATGATTCAAGATCATAATTACTTCTCAAAAACTTTCTATTCTAGTTTACCTCCAGACTGATTAAAGTCAATTGTATAAATACTACATTTCATCTGACAAAGACACAGACTAGCTGGGAGTGGGCTCAGCCTTCACAGTGGGAAGTATCTGGTTTAGTAGTTCCCTGGTGAACAGATGTCCTGCTCTGTCTCCCCTCTTCCTGGAACCACATGTCACCCTCTTATCACATATGCAATGGAGGGCCTAGATGTCCCTATGCCCAAGATGAAAAGATTCTCCTGTTAAACTGACAAGAAGCCTGCCATGGTGACCTGACCTTTGTGGAGAACCAAATAGCTGGGAACTGTGCAATAAATCCTCCTGGGTTCTTTGTGCCCTAGCACTTTGTGGCTTGTCCACTGTGGTGATGGCAGCCTATGCTGCCTGGAATACTCAAGACCAGAGCCCTTGACTACAGTATATCAGTGTCCCCAAGTGTCTTCCCATCAAGACACAGGCCATCCAGAAAATGGTAACATTTGTCGGACACACTGATGGCCTGGGAGAGATGTAGACCCCAGCAAGGCTGCTCACAGCTAGAAGCAGGTGGCACAGGATTTCCACTCCAGGCCCCATGTGGTGGCCCTTGGGCCTGGGAGAGATCAACATGTCCCTGCAGCTGGAAAGCTCCAGCCTTCCTTGCGTCCCATCTAAACCAGGCCAGAAACCATTTTCACAAGGCCTACACAAAATAAGCAAAAATGCAGTGGAGACTATTGCCTGGGTGTCAGTGCAGCCACAGCTGCTTTGTGACAGTATGTATCATTCACCATATTGTTTTCAGTAAATGTCCAAGTGTGTGAACAGCAACAAAAACATCACCTGACAACCTGACTCTAAATCTGTCTCAGATATTCAATTTCAAGAGTCAGAAATGGTGACTCATTCGAGATTAAAAATTTTTAAATGTGTATAGAGGTGTGAGTGGGCATTCTTATGTATTTTTCATCATTTTCATGAAACCCAATGGATAACTAATCAAATACATAAGGCTGACAAATTAGGCATAATACATAAGTACTCTTCAATTTGCAAAAGGATTCATTTCAGCAATCCTCTAAATATCAAGCTTTACTTCACATTTAGGTTCAGTCAGGAAAAAAGTATATAAGACTTTTTTAAAAGAATTTGATTTATAATTGGAAAGATTTCAAAAGCACATATCCTATTTCAGGCAAAATCAAACAATGTATCTCATATATGCAATGAAAATAGTATTACATTCTAATATGTAAACTTACTCTTTAATTTGTAAGTAGGGACACACAAAACCAAATTCGTCCATCATCAGCCAGTTTTATGGTAAGGACTGGTGCTGGTATTTTGTGTTTTCTAGACTGTATAAATATGTTTTTAAATCTATTTCATATCCATTTTGGGATGAATAATATAAAGTTACTAAAATTGGCAATCTAAAAAAATACAAATGACAACCCATGGATTCCCTAAAAGAAACATAGTCAATGTATTCTTTGTACAATCTCAACAAATAAAAAGAGAATTTTTAACCAGTATTTTTCTCAGCCTTTGGTCAACTCTTAAAAATCTGAAGTGGGGTTAAAGTCACACTTTCCAAGTGCAAGTACAGCTAATGAGCCAAAGATGGCTGCGAAGCCTTGTCCTACAAACACATTGAAGTGCTGTGGCCCCTGACCAAAAGACAACAGAGACAGAGGGCTGAGAATGGAAGAAAGAAAAGGCAAGGAGGGACCGTCCAGAGACAAGACCATCTGTCTTGTCTCATCTGGCTGATTTTGTCACTGTGAGTCCTCCCTGCAGTTTTGCAACTGCCCAACAGAAGGCAGCATTTACAATACAATAAAGCACGGATGGTACCTCCCTGGGAGGAGTGACCTAAACACCCGTAGGCCAAGCCTTGCGGTCCCTCTAGCCACAGCTTTTAAGACACTCATCTGGATAACTTTCAGAGGCTTTCTGTGCTTTGGATATAAGATAGCCGCTAATTTATTCATTCTAATTAATGCCAGCCCAGGAAAGTCTTGAAGGGACAAAGAGGTTATTCTTAATCCTTCCAAGACAAAAGGTCACTGTTTGATTTCATAAGCGTGGCTTTCTGGAGTACCTCATTTTCCTCTTCGTGCTCCAGTATGGCCTGCAGAAATGCCCTCCGCTCGTGGCTCGAAGACTTCTGATCAAACATGCCCGCCTGGATCACTTTCTGATCCACATTCAGCTTGTATTTTGCGGCTGCGAGAATCTTCTCCTCCACGCTGTTCACAGTGCAGAGTCTCAGCACCCGGACCTCGTTCTGTTGACCGATGCGGTGAGCTCGGTCTTGTGCCTGCAGATCCTGTTTGAGAGAACACCACGCTGTGAGGACCGACAAGCCTGGATTAGCCTGGCAAACAAGTCCTTAGCCAAGAGGGACACAAGGCAGTGTTACTGAACCCACCTTTACTAAGGTAAGATTTTGCTTACATTTTAAAAACACACAAGCTACCTTTGAAAAATGTCCAGGTCTCGCCTGGTTGAGAAAACCTGGGTTTAAATTAACCAAGCCAACTGAAATACATCTCAGGTTTTCAAATCCAGGTCTCAAAATATTTTTAGCTGTCCCTAGGTTCACCTTCAGAATTAGGCCCTAACTGAAAAATTATATGAGGGTACATCTGATGTCAGAATTATGATTTAGATATTACCTACGACCAACCTTAAGTTGCAAGAAACACCTTCCTGTTGGTATGAGGTGTTAAAGATGATTTTTAAAATATCATTGGGTTATACATACATGCTTTATACATACATACATTATACAGGTAGTGAATGCTCAGAGAGCCAATTTCCTGGGACCTAACTCTATCAAAGACTCAGTCTTCTGTTTGTAAAATGAGAATGGTTGCTAGTGTGGTAGAAGCTGATGAACTTTTGGGGATAGAAATTTGACACTGTATATCAAAAATGTTGAAATTGGGTGTGACTCTGACTCAGAAATTTCACTTTTGGAAATTTGTCCTAAACAAATAATCATGGATATGCACAAAGATTTAGGAATAAGGATGTACCTTCTTAGCATTATTTATTATATATAATGGCTTTTTAAAAAAAATGTAGAAGTAAACATTCAATAATAACCAATTGGTTAAATAAATTATAGTACTCTACTGTATGTACGTACCAACAGTCTCATAATAATTAAATTGTAGATTTAATAACACAAAGCTATAATAAGTGTGACTACATGTTATAAATGAGTAGGTACATTATGATCTTATATTTGTATATTTACCTATAACGAGAAAAAGGTGGGAAGGACAAATACCAACATGCCACTAATGTTTATATCTGCAGGTAACAAGATTATAGGTGTTATTTAATTTTTTTCATTTTGCTTACATGTGGTTTAACAATTTTTTCTACCATTATTAGATTACTTATGTTACTCTTATAATAAGAAAGGGGCTTTAATGAACTCTTTAAATAAAAACCTTCATAAACCTATGAAGTAGAGTTACCTAATTTTATAGCTACACAATAAAAACTTCTTGGCATACCACTTTTATTCATGTGGTTCAGGGGATGGTATCTGGGCCAATGCTAATTAGTTTACACGTGTCCCCATTAGACTGTAGGGTATACATTTTTAGGGCAAAGGTCTGTTCCCCATATCCTGCATTCATAGCACCAGATTTTACACAGAGCTCAATAGCTGTAAGCCTGTCCTCTTGACCAGATGAGTTTCCTGGTCACCTGTGTAGCACAAGGGGGCAGCAGGGAAACGTCTGCCCAGGAGATTTGTGTTTGCTGCAGGGACCTTTAAAATTGAAACATTTTTCTCAGAAGGTATTTGAATAAGTTAATATAATAGTGCTGAACCATGAATATGGCTGGGTCCCATCCAAATCAGATTATTTTCTAAGGAGGAGAATGTGAGGTGTACAATTAAAATCCAAAGGGGGGTTTTAGGGAAAACTCCCCAAACTTCCTTTTTGAGACCTTAGTTCAATTATCTTTCAACCCATCTTCACCAGAACAGCTAAGCAGCAGCTGAGATGACAAGCTCTGTGTCATCACCTCTTCATGAACAAGGGTCGACAAACTTTCTGTAATGGACCCAATAGTAAATACAGGTCGTCTGGACTAGGAGCGAACATTGGGTAACTGTTCTCACCAAAAGGCTGATATTGTTCTTTTTTCCCCCCTATTTTATATTTATACCTAAAGATGTGAAAACCATTCTTCACTTGCAGGTTGTACAAAAACAGGTGGCAGGCCATCTTGGCCAGTGTCCCAGACCTCCGCTGACCCCTGTCCCAGAAGAAGCTGGTAAAACCACAAACATACTAAAATGCAGATGGCAGCTGATATACTCTTTGAGAAAGAAGAGGACGGAGACAACATACAGTCAGGATGATACGTTCTGGAATCCTTGGTGACTGTTGCAGTTAGTTTTGCTTGGTGATAGGAGCGGTAGTGTATGTTTGTGTGTTTATGGTCATCCATCTGTTTGGAAAGTGCCAAGACTTAGTATCTAGGCTGCAGAAGTTTATGGAATGTGAGCCTTTAAGTGCCTAAACCAAAAAGCGGGGACAAAAGACAATTGTGACAAAGAAATAAGTGCTGTAATTATTGGATGGATTATTCAAGATTTCTGACGTGGTCTCAAACTTCATCACACTGATTTGGGTGTGATAATACTTGAAGACTAGAGCCTGGCCTGAGATGAGGGCCTCTCAGGTAACTCTGTGGTTACCATTCTGTAATAACGCAGCTCCAGCTCTATGGTTTGAAAATACAAGTATCAACCCATGTTTCCATTCAACAGTTTGAAAATTAGAGTCTTGGTAATCCTGAGGGATTTCATTGCTAATTCCATATTTTGAGTTCTATCTTTGCTTCTAGGTAGGGCCTTCAACTAGCAACTTTAAGGCCTTTACATTCAATCTGTCAGCCTAAGTCATATAAACCCATTTCATCTATCTGCCTTCATTTTGATTCAGCATGACAGAGAATATTTACAAAGTTTTCTTCAATGCTTGCTGAATCCAACATGGTACAAAGGGCTCTATATCTTTCATTTTGGGGCTATGCATATATATGCAGGGGTGCACGGTAGATAGAGCTTGAACCCAGGATTCAAACCCAAACCCAGACAGACATAGGCTGAATCCTGGCTGTGTGCCCCTGAGCAAACTAGTGTTGACTGGTTTCCTCATGTGTCACATATTTTGAGGATTACCTGAAGTATGCAAAGTGCCTAATAGCATCTGATAGAGTGGCTTAATAAAAGTTAGTTCCCTTACCTTTTAAATGAATACTCAGTACTTGTCTATATCACTCTAAGGTCACTGATTTCTGAAAATGAGAAAAAGGTTTGCCCAAACTAATGGTCATGTTTAAGTGACAGATATGAAAAATCTGCACAGCCACTTACCAAATCAGGTGGAAGTGAATCAGCCTACGGCAGGTATTAATACTTGCAGAGGTATATGGCCCATGTGAGGAACTTGTGGTAAATTAGACCAGAAGAAATTTGGGGTGTGTGTTTTGTTGCCAAACTTTTAGTTCACTATAGTTAAGAGGCAACTGTTCAGTGCTCCTGCAACTCACTTTGATGCTGGATTTTCCCCTGTTGCTACTGGTCACAAAAGTTGTACCCACAAAGTTTGTAATGGAGCTAGAAAGGGGAAAGAAAGAAAGAGTGCCCATTTTACAGATGATGGAACTGAGTCTGAGTGAGGTATACGAGTATAACCGGCACCAAATCACAGAGTTATTTGTCTCATTCCAAAGCCTCCGTAATACTTCATTTTCTTTAATGAACACTGTATGTATTTCAATTCTGTGCTGCTGAAACTATTAATGATGATGATTAATGAATGATGATTACGTATAGTAAATAAGTCAACAGGGTATAATGGAGAATGTTCTCTACTATCCCAGAATAAAATTGAATCCCAGATTTATCACTAATTATCTGTGTTTCATCTCCGGAAAGCAGTGACTTGGCTTCATATGAAAAAATGAAGGCAGGGTATTGGATTAGACGATGCCTTCCCAGACTAAGGCTTTCATCTTCCCAGCCAGGACTGGGCATGAGAATTTAGCTAAGTATTCCCTTAAGTGACACTAGGTGGCGTGTGAGAACAAAAGAGACGGAGACATTTATAGGCGACATGCAACCCTCATTTCAGTTGGTGATGGAATTTGTTTTCTGAAGTGAATCATTGATAATTTCAGGCTACTGATAACTACCATAAAACAAAACAAACAAACAAAAAAACACTTGACCTTATATTTTGCCAGTGTAAAAACTCTGCCTTATCTCCAATTTGAAGTAGAACTTTGATAAATCTAAGCAGAAAGCCAAATTCTTTATGTTTAGCAGAACATTAACCAAACATCTCCTAGAATAATTTTTATTAAATAACTCTTGCCATAACTGTAACAACATTAAGGTAAATTGAGTATTTGGAAAAGATGATATAGTCAAGGAATACTCCTATGAGCGCTATAGAATGAATTCCGATGCTTTTGGAATATTAAAGTATATGTTATCAGTAATGAAAGCTAGTGAGATTATGTAAGGCACAAAGAACATAAAAAGGGTACACACTTACTCTTAGAGGTCTTTGTTTTTAGATCATGAAACTTCCAGACTTTGGGCTCTATTTGCTCAATATATTTGTATTTCAAGTATTGCTCATAATTTTTTCACTTCTTTTCTTTTTTTTTTTTTTAAATCATCAGAGTACTCCTTTAAAAGGGTAACTCTAAACTTACCTGGCTAAAATAACTTACAATAATAGATGCTTGATAGAATATTTTTTGATGATGATTTTAAACAAAACACACATAATAAAAGGTTAACAATCATATACTAACTGTTTGGCTTTGGGAAGTTACTTAGCCTGCCTAGGACTCAGTTTCTTTGACTGTAAAGATGCAAATAGTAATATTAACTACTTCACAGAGTTGTTGTGAAAACTGAAAGAAACAATGCACATGAAGAGGTTGGCACAGAGTGAGCGTCCTGTAAATGTTAATTGCTGTTGCTTTGTACTATTTTGGAACATTTTTGCTTTATCCTTCATGAAATGTACTTTGCTCAATGGCAATCCCAGGAGATGAGATTATGACTGAGTTTTACAACAATTGAGTTTTTTACCCCAAACCTGAGCTCTTCAAAGGCATGTGTGGGACATCTGAATATCCATGCTTTGAGGGAGGTAAGAAAGCAGCCATAATAATTGGCTGGGCTCTTTCTCCCTTGGAGAAATGGCCCACTTGTTTAGAAGTTTGCTCTGTCCTATAGATGTGAATGATGAGCCATAATCTTTTAGTTCCTCTCCAGAGGGAGGCCTGGGCACCCGAGTCAGATATGCAGACCTGATGAGGATTCCAGTCGCTGTCAAAGATGACCACTGTATCAGCTGCCTGAAGATTTAAGCCCAGGCCTCCAGCTCTCGTGCTTAACAAGAAAATGAAATATTGGGACCCAGGTTCATTGAATTTCTTCAGCAAAGCAGCACGGTCTTCAGACTTGGTAGTGCCTGCAGGGGTAACAAAAATAAATTTGCCAATTAACTCCTGCCTGAAAATGGCACAGAACAAGACAGAAAGGCCTGCTTCCCAGAGAAATACACCCAGACTCTTCTTAATGTTGGTTAGGTAATCCTCAGGATTTTTGTACTTTTGAAAGGAACTTTGGACATTTTATAATTAAAAAAAGAGAGAGAGGGAGAGAAAGAGTTTAAACATTTCTGACTGAACTCCATTACAACTTTACAAACTCTGCAACATTCTTACTCTAACCTAAAATTTAATGAAAACATTATCTGGATTTACTTCTTGCTTTAAAACACCAAATAATTTTTAAACACACCCACATACACACACGTGCATGACAAAAACTATTATAATGGCTTAAAGCAATTTAGCCAATAGCCATTAGAGTGAGTACTTACTTATGCCAAGAGAATGGAAACAAAAGAAAAGTTGATTTCTACTACTTTATCTTTTGAATTGCTATTGAGTATGCTGGTAAAAACATAAAATGTGAATGAAATATTTTTATCTTTATTAGCAACACTTGAAGCTACAACGATCTAAAAAAATATAAGGAATCCCTTAGTCTATTTCTCACATCAACATTCTGCTCTGTTGAGTTCAAAGGATGCTAAAGTCAATCAAACAGAGCAGCATGTTATATGCCTGGGGGTGGCTCACCCCATGGTATCTGAGGAGGCTCCCAAACAATGACTAAGCAGAGAGTCCCAAGCCCCAGTGCAATGCTCACTGTGGGGACAAACTCCAGTACATACTATGTATTCGTAAGGTATTTTACCAGGTCATTTTATAAAATGCATTGTGGAAGAGAAAACAAAAACAAAAACAAAAAAAGCCACCCGTATCCCATTTGTACATATTTCACCAGAGAAATGTATATGCTGAGTTTTGAAAAAGGCTTTATTTAGGCTGTTGGGAAATGTATATGCATGGTACATGATAGTCCCTGACTGATGCAGTACAAGTATTTTTTCTACATGTTCTTTTTTAAGGATGAAAATATACCAGCAATTTATTTCAGAGGATTAAAACATTTAAGTAACTATAGCTAATGGATCAAGTTACTACGAGGGTCAAGTTCCCAAACATGAGGAGATCTGTTTTTCACATCTAATAAAAATAACAAGGGCCCTCCTTAGGAGAAAAAAAAAAAAAATCAATTCCCTGCATACGGCAATTGGGGATTAGGAACTAGGGGTTTTGGAGACTCTCCTCATTTAATGAAACAACATTCTTTAGAGTCATTTTACTTTCTAAATTAGATTTTGAGTTTAGGGAACTGGCCAAAACCTGCCACAATGAATTGTACGAATTTGGATTTGGGGAGAGGGGCACTAAATATGCTCTCAGTGAGGTTTCAAATGTGGAACTCTGTTTTGTTTTCAGAATTGGCTTTCTGAGATCACAGGGAACTAATTGCTCATGATGCTAATAGAAGACATGTTCTGTTTTGCCATGAAGTCCTCTCTATATTGTCTTTCCATTTGTAATAATTCTGTAGAAAATTATTCACATGGACTAATGGTTCACATATTTATCCTCTGCCTTAAACTGAAATAAAAGCCACCACAAAAACCGAAATATCCTTCTAAAACGGGGAAAGACGGGGCTCCTAGAGATAATGACCCCTGTTTTCTGACAGCAGGGTACAAAAGCTGTGCATCTATGATCTTATGTACCCTGACGGTAGAAGTTCAACAGTTTGGATCAACTGGAAAACAACCAGTTAATGATCACATGTATTAAGATATAAATAAAACTAATTAGGGGATATGCCTGCTTATGATGAAATAACCCTACGTGTAAAATAAAGCACTGAAAAACAAAAGGGAGATCAAAATTATTTGGTCAAATAAGTTTTCAGGCCATATGCCAGACACTTCAAGCAAATAGACTGACCATATAACTGGTGTGTATTTAAAAGTTCATGTAAAGATTTGCATTATCTTTTAATTCTAATTTTTTACGAACTTGTTGAAGTACCCTCATAGCTGGGACCTTGACAAATTATAAAAACGAACAAACAAAA